GAGGTAAACATTACGGTTGGGGTACACCAAGGATCAGCCCTCAGCCCGTTCCTCTTCCTCCTGACTCTGGATGTCATGGCAAAAGAACTCATGAAGGGGCCATTTATTTGAGTCCTTCTCACCTGGCACGAATTTCGCCTAGAGCTCGGCAAAAGATCCTTTGTGAATGAGTCATGCGATATTCGGAAAGAGTGATTTGTCAATGGAAGTCCGCTGCATTCAGCCATAGAGATCGGACAGATTCTCTGACAGCCAATAAGCAAGGAAGGTGCGCACATCAATCCTATCCGCAGCCTCAATGTAGCGTGATGGCGAAGCAGTATCAAGTATCAGTCGACGAACGCGTACCACGCTGTAGCATGTCAAGCTACGTGTGGTCAATTATATGCCGAAAACAGGGAAAACCATGGGCATCACTTTTCTGAGCCTAGGGGAACCACCGACATATCGATGTTAGTTGAGACTACTGCACGGGGAAGACTGCAGGAAACTCAGGGCCAACGGAGAAACCAGCCGTTCTCTGATATGACGATCTGTACGAACACTTGCGCTGGAAGCTCACACTGAAGATCTAATGATGCAAGCCAGGAAGATAAGTGCGACGACATCGGACAGACCGAGGCGAGAAGAAATCGCCCGCTACACATAATTTTTGGAATTGAAGAAGAACTGCACCTTGATTTGTGCGCCAGCAGAGGCATTGGCGGTGTGCTCTACAAACAACGTCAAGACCAAAGGATGTCACCATTTTACAAGAGACCCCACTTCCCCTTCCCAGCCCCTCTTCCAAGGACCTTTGGACGTGACGTGAAAGGAGGACAGGGGAGTGACGATTGACGATCGGTGACTACACCGTCTCCCCTCCACTGGCTACATCGTTCTGATAAAAACGTCATGCAAGCAGAGGCATGGTAGCAAAAAGGTTTGCGTATGCATCTAACGGAGTTGATATCCATGAACAGCAGACTGTTTTGTGACACTCGTTTAGCTAAAAGAACAAATATTCGGGATGCTCGGAAGTCAATAAGAGACTCCGCACCACAGGTGAGCAAGGTGAGCAGGGAGAAAAGAGCGGTTAAAGAGCTTAAAATCATGGGAGTGAAGAAAAAGGAGAACAAAAAGGAAAAGACGAAAAAGAAGATTTGTCTCCATGCTCTATTCGATTTCACGGTCCTTCCTGTAATCTGCTGAATGGTTGCCGGTTGCCGACTGGTTCATCATGTCGCTCAGAAAGAGAACCTATATGAGCGTTTATAGCGCCTTGCAAGTGGACACGTTTCTGATAGGTGATCTGCCTCACATGGGAACCCGCTTGCCATGGGCGCTTCTTCGAACCAAACCCTGAATTGCTTCTGCTCATGCCAATCTTTGAAGAGAGAAAGCATTTTGACAGACTTGTCTAGGAATGTGAGAACTCTTAGTGGGTCACCGGCTGGCTCCCGCAATTTATTGTGTAAGGCATATCGCATTCAGCGAAATAGCGACGTCGCACTTTCCCTGAAACGACTCGACAGGTGAATGCGCTGACGGAACGCCGGAAAATATTTGCCACCAGAGGTGATATTGGTCCCTCGTACACGATTTTTGGAAAAAAAAATTGAATTCTCCTCTCCAACTCGTGTTTTTTCCCGGATGTTCAATAAAAGGGGCATTGAACTGACCATGAGATTCCCAGATAATCCGCTCTGTAGTATTCAATTGCTCACTACCCTAACTCACTTTTGGCAATGCTTAGCCTCTAATTTCCCATCAGGGCACGCCATCGTTGTGATGATCACAACAGCGGGTCGTATTTGACCTCGAAGAGGGGGTGGGTCGTAAGCGCAGGGCCCTTTCTGAAGAGGAGAGTGCACTGATAGTCAGATGTCAT